ATGAAAATACATGAATGTATTAGAACAAAGCCACAAAATATTCAAGAGTACAAATTTTTACGTTGAGTACTCTCTAACTACAGTAGTGGCCCTACTTGTACATGTATGCCTGAACACATTAATTAACTCATGCAAAAGAAGTGGTGACTGCATAAAACGTGTATTGTTTCACAAGTATACACTTTCAGTCAGAGAATGACTACACAATACGGATCTGATTTATCACAGCAATTTACATTAAAAATTAAATATAACATGAATTAATAATTGCATAGTATTAAGAAAACAATTTTTTGTGATAAAAATATTAATAATAGATGTAACAGTGCACACGATTTTAGGAAGACCTAAGACTTTGCTTTGAGGTTTTAAAAATTAACATTACTTTTACCGTAATTGAGCAAAGCCCACTAAGACGAGAAAGATGTTGTCTGTACGGGGATAGGGTCGTCCAACTAATACTAAAGTTAAGTAGCCTAATCTTCATTAAAAGTGGGTGTGGTCACAATGAATTAAAATGGTGGCTATCAGCCAGTCTGGGCTTATTTGCAGCAATTGCTCAGCAAGATTAGACTAAACTGAGTCCAAATACTTCGCTAGCAGTAAGATGGGTCATAAAGCACAACAATAGAGTGGCTCAGGCGCTGAGCCCTTCAATGTTTTACATTCTTCTACTTTGATTTATCATTCTAGCTTTTGAAAAAGAATAACACATAAAGCTCCAATTTCATAATAATTACTTGCATCAAATAAGACCAAATGAGAGTTTAATTTTAGCTGATAAAAATGAAACGGACATAACTCAGAAAGAACAAAAATACACAAAAAAGAATAAGAGAAATAAAACAGATTAATGAACTATAAGGATTATATGAAGTCTAGGACTGTAGGAGAAGATATGTACATGTACATGTAACCAAACTCTCATCTTTATTACAATGGTATATACAACACAATCACACAATGGTATTATAGTACACACATACAACGGTACTCTCAAACATCACACACATACCACCACATTTACAAAATACAGAAAAACAAAAAAAAGCAAAAATTATTAATCATAAGTACAAGTCAACAACGAGAAATAAAAGGCAGTTATTAGAGTAGGCCACGTTAATGTAAAATGTACTATATCAATATCAATCATCACAAAGTGTTGTCTGCTACAACATAATTTTCTCTAAAGAATATTGTGTGCCACGACTGGTATCACCTGCATGTGTGTGTTACAGTAACTGTATTAAATGCTAGGTGTGAGAATGGCAGGACTGTTATTAAAACTGAAAATAACTAACAATCTTGTACATGTACAAGCAGAATCTATAAATGTACATGCATACTTTAATCATTACTAGTTACTACTAACTCACAGTTAATGATGACTCTGCACTGCTAAACGATTAGATGATGTAACATTCAAAAAACTGGCAAGGAAATTTAGGCAACCTACAGTAGATAAGGGAGGAGCATAAGTGTACATGTTCAAATTAGAGTAGACTCAGAACAACTCATTTCCACCAAAATATGTCACCATATAATGTGTATGGTAATAATAAATGTAAATTTTAGTTAAAATCGACTGACATGTATGCTATTTCAAAGTTAACTATGTACATGTACAAGAATATTAAAGATAGGGTAATACCGATAGGATTTACCAGTATGAGTAGCGACAGCAAATAAATTGATTACTATTAGAAAAGGCTCTACAATGATCAATTTATTCATGCAAGTTGCAAATGCAAGCCTGTGTCAGTAAATATTGTCATAATAGTGTTGAATAAAGTGAGAAGTATTGTATATAGTGTCAGTGCAAGTGCATGCCACTAACATAAACTGAG